CCTGTGTTGGCAACCTTTTGCATCCTGCTTTTGGATGGACTACAAAAAGAGAAAAAAAGTGGCATTATTAAAGGAATTCACTGAAACACAAATCTCTGCAGATGAATGTTTAATCTCTTAACCAATGGATAACAGTTTCCTTCAACACACACCCCTTGCATCCCACCCCAAGGAACAAATTCTTGGATGGAATATTATAGAGACTTGGAGAACAGCTTTTTGGAACTTTCAGAAATATCACAGAAGTATGTCCTGAGAAGGCTATGGTTTTCTTAGGTATAACGTGCAGCTATGACAGCTAAATCCTCAAAAAGGATAAACAAAGAAAATTGCCACCTTTCAATTGTGGTTCTATAGAAAATTGCTGAAAATAACTTAGACTGATAGAATACACGCTTTCTTTCTAGATGAAGTAAAACATATTGCTCACTGGCTGCAATAATGAAATTAAAACTTAAGTACTTTGGACAAATAATGCAAAGACCGAAGTCAATGAAGAAGTTGGCCCAAGTTGCATGAACGTGGGGAGGGGGGATGTTTGTAGAGCTAGTCAATCCCTTCTGTCAACTCTGGAGTAGGACTAGTCCATACAGGCAAGTGTTCATAATCCTGCAGGAGCAAGAGACAGAGGATGGAGTCTCTACTATTGATTAAGATAAACTAGTGTTAGGGTTAACTCCATGAGCGTCAGTGAGGGAGTCAGGCTGGGACTCCATTACCAGTTCATGGTAATGGAGGAAATAACTGTTTTAGGTTGTCAATTTAACCACTGGTTCCCAATCAGAAGAAACCAACTAGCATTGGAACTAGCATTCCTTATAAATTTAGCCATAAATACACTAAACAACCAAGATTATCATAGATCTGTGCCTTATTCTCTGTTTAATGAACCATTCCCTAAATATTTAGTGTAAACTGCCCAAGTAATTTTGGAATCAGGTAGCTTCCAAACCTCATACAAACATATACACAAATATACTCCATTTTTACCCATTCAGGCTTGCCCTTACAATAGTGTCAACTTCAAACAAAATATTCCAGAATTGAAGCCCATTCATAGGCTTTTCCTAAAGCACCAAACATTCAGTGTACTTTCTTTCTCATATTCATATTTTTCTCAATGGTCTGCTGAAAAACAACCATCTATTCTGAATAACTTTGCTCACTATCTCCTATTTATTTACTAATAATAATAATTTAATAAATATAAATCTCATAATTTATGTACTGTCTGATTCCCAGCAACTCTGGGCAATTTATAAATTGTTAAAAACATTTAAAACAAGAAAACAATAGAAAACAAAAAAAGCAAAGATGGCAGGAATAACAAGCCTGGGTCAGAACAAAAATAACTATTAAAAAAAAAGAAATGGGGGCTTCAATTATGTTTGCCAAAGGCCTGAGCAAAGAGTCAACTCTTCGCGGCCCTTCGAAACATCAGCAGGGTGAGACCAGACCTTGGGAGAAACCTCA